TACTCGTGAGGTGATTAAGAAATAATTCCTTCCTTTCTTCTTTTAAAATATGGTTGATGTTTTTAACATGGTCGTGTCGCCACAGTGCTCCAAGGGGTGGCAAATACAAACCTGTATTTTCTCTTACAGAATGCAATGGCAGGTGTGGTTTGTGTAGTTTCATATAAACTGGTTCTCATGATCTAAGTTCCTCTTCCAGGAGGCTGTTTCCAACACCATAGCCTTTGGGGACAGGGCAAGACAGGAAGTGTGTGGGCAGGGCTGACTAAGAATCCTTTTGGCTGAAGAGCATAAATCAAAATTCTCCCTGAACACGGTACCTGGAAAAGCTGTCAGGCAAGAAGGGATAAAAAAGAGAGGAAAGATGAAGGATGGAGCATGATTAAGGCCAGAACAAAAATATAAACAAAATGTTTGTCATGGGTACAATTCTTAGCATCTGGACAGGAAACAGCTAAGAGAAACCATCAAAACACAGCAGTTAACCCCAAGACAGTCAGGCTGCACTGTCTACATCATCATACAAATTTAATGAGGACAAGATGCAAAGTGTTTCACACCCAGTCCTGCATTACGCCAACTGTGAGGCATCCGTCTACAATTCTGCCTATGGCTAGGAGTCCTCATTTGCAGTTTGTCACAAACCACAAACAGGTGGATGAAGCCCTACCTTAGGACCCTCAGAGAAGGCAAACCAGGCTTGTGAAGAAGAGAAGGGCAGGCTGGCAGGGGAGAGTGACACAATAATGGTATCAGGGCAGAACACCAAGGGGATGGTGCCAATGTAATTACAGGACCACGCTCACCAGCTTAACTGCACTGTCAGTTTGGGACTAATGTCAAAGTGTCACTGCCCCAAGCTGGAGTCACTACAGATTGACAGTCCACATCAGTCTCTTCCACACGGATCTCTGGAGCGACTCCCAGGTCCTAAAGCACCTGAGCTTCTTTCTGGATTATCCACAGCTAACTAGAAGATCCTAAGTAAAGGCCGAGACTACTTACTGCATCCTGTATCAATTCAATCCAGAACATGGGGCAGGGTTGGGCCCTTGGGTCATGGGAACAATGGTCAGCCCCAGGAAAAGAGGCTAGTAGGCTGGCAGTATCCACGAGCCCGCTGACAGAGCTCCCCGGAACCTAGCCAGCACTGAACTCAGTGTGGCCCTTCCCTAACCCTGGCTCTCATCTCTCACTTGGCAGTCTGTCATGCTTGGCTAATTGATTCTCTCTACAGCATGGGCAGGCCCAAAAACCTGCTCACTTCAGAGAAGAGGTGAGGAAGCCTGGATTGCAGCACTCCTCACTACAACTCCCCAGGAAACACGGAGTTATATATAAAGATTAGGTACTGAAAGCAACAGCTATACCTATAACCCAAGGGTCAAATCTGTAAACATCCAAATAGAAATGCAAGTATTTGTCCCTGGCCTCCTCAGCTTCAGGTCACTCCAAGCAGTGCGAACAGCTGTCATCACTACCAAGGAAGCAGCGAGTGTCACTGAAACTAAACATAACAATGGCTTTTATTCAGCCCATAGACCTGACTGTGAGCTTTGTTATGCGGGAGAGGGGCTCCTCACCCTAAATCCATGGCTTGGCAGGAAGCTCTCTCTAATAGGAAAACCAGCTTTCACTCCTTGACCACAAATCAACTGTGACAGACTTAAGAAGAATGAACTGAAGAGGAGCTGAGATTTAACATCTGTTCAATGTAATCACAAAACATCACTGTGATTCCTAAGAACCGCCAGGCATCTCAAAATTGCCTATTGACCATTCAGCTCCCTGGAGACCCCACACTACTGCCCATGACCTACTACCTTCACCACTCACAGTTGAACAGCATAAGGGGCTCCTACAGCAGAGTGCCTTCACAACCAAGGGCCTGTCCTGTCCCTGTGATGGACACATGCATGGACAAAAGATTTGGTCAGGGATCTGCCAACAGTGCAAGTTCCAACAATCCCTTCATCTTTTAAAGTAAATGATAACAATTCCCAAATGAACTTCTTAAGCCACCAGAAGAACTGGGACTCTGCCGAGCAAAGGCAGCCTTCTGCTCCTGGTGTGAGGGAAAGAAGACCTAGAGGGAGGGGCTCATTCATCTTTTTCTCAGGTCCAGCCCCTGCCTCACATTTGTGCTGAATTGCCAGCCCTCACCCTATATGCTGAACAAGCTCCTAAAAGGATAAACCCTTCATACATGTGTCCCGTGCATTGTAAACTCCTGCTCCAGCTCCAATAAAACTGCTTGAAGCTCATGATGAAACAAAGGAAATTTTCCTGCAGAATTTTCAGCTGAAGAAACAGTTGGTGATTTTCCTTCAATCTCCAGCAAAACACAAATTTTACCAGAAGAAATATTTCACTAGTTGCAAACTGATAAATTATTTAGAAAAGGGCTCAATTGCCCAGGCAAGGAAATACAGGCCAGATATAGAGCCTGTCAGCCTTCAGAAGTAAATACAATCATTGTGGTTTCACTAAATTCCTTCAAAAGTCACCTTTATCAAAATATCTAATCTTGAATTGTCACAGTTAGAAAAGTCAGGAGGAGAATAAGCATTTGGACTCAGCAAGGAAGTCAGCAGTCTGCAAAGCACCACTTGGCACTGGTAGGATGCCAGCCGTCGGCTTCCTCACCTCCTGGATGGGAGCTGCTATGAAGGTTAACAGGCACCCCTCTCTGTTCCCACTCAAGGCAACATGGAGCCAGGTACTCATTTCAGCAAACACAGATGAAAATGATCTCACCTCAAATTATCCAACTTTGGTGAGTCTTACAATAAAGCACACAGAGAAAGAGAAAACCAAATGGGGGGTGTTGTTGTTTATTTTGTTTTGACCCAATAATTTAGTGGAGATCTGGGGGTCTTTACATCGAAGGTCCAGGCAATTTAACAGCCATTGTTTTGTTGCAGATGGCACATCAACCTCTTTATCACTACAGAAACTCAAGAGCCTTGCAGAATACAATAAAGTGGCGTGTGTTTAGTTTTGCAATGTTTCTAAGGACCCTGATTTACAGCTGGGGACCAGGCACCTTGCACCACACATCTGAGCTTGGTAATTGCCTCGTGTTTTGTGCAAACTCTGTAAGACAGTATAAGGTCTATACCCACTGAAAAGCACCGCTCTCAAAGCCAGTCCTCTTATTCTCTCCTGCAAACCATGTGAAGTCATGTGAGCAAAGAAGTGTGTCGTGTGCACCCAGGCAAGGACTGGCTGACACCTACCAAGTTAAATGACACTAAAGTCAGCAGTAAATCAACTCAGCAGTTAGAAGAAGCACATCACAGAAAATGGAACAGACACTGACGTCCCTAGACCCTGGACATGCACATTCCGGAGCTGTGCCCTGTTAAGAGCACCTCTCTTTTTAAAAGAAAGAAAGCACTTAAAGCAGCAGAGACCACTCTGGGAGTAAGAGTTACAAGGTCTGAACCTATCTGGCTACATTCTATACACGCAATTGGAAGATCTGAACATAGCTGGTTACATTCTAAAGGAACAAGCAAAAGCACAGTCAACCCAGAAGGGGGAGGAAGTCGCTGGATCAGAAAGGCACTCCTTAGAGTGTGTATAGTTCTGGTCAGTCCACCAGTGCCACTCTGCCCCACTCTCCTTTAAGTGCTGCCTCGCCTTGCTGAGATGCTGGATACCTACAAAGTCCTCAAACATGCTGTTTTTCTGCTGAAACACCATGCATCTCAGCTTTCTTTAAAGGAACACACCATCAAAACATCTGTCCAGTCTTCATCCAACCCCCCCCAGACACATCACACTCTCCAGAAAAAGGCTACTGAATTTTTATATAAACCATCAAGAAGTAACAGATTCGAGAGAGGAAAAGCAAAGTCTTTAGTCCTATGTCAAAATAACCACCGAGAACCTGACTGCTAAAGAACAAAGACCATTATTATTTACTTGACAAGTTAGAAATGCAAAGCACAAAGACACAGAGATGTTTCCTCACAATTATTCACCTTACTACCATAAGCTACGGCAGAAATTACTTAAGGGCATTGTTAAAGGGAGGAACAAATTTATTTTTGAATATCCTCTTACTCAAAGAATATAAATAATGTATAAGAAATCCCTGAATTCCAGATCATGTGGATCCACAAATCAAAAATCCTAAGGAGGTACTGTTAAGCGGGTTTTGTAAATCATTCGTTTCTATTAGACTTATAGCTAAAGGCGGAAAGTCAAGCCCACAGGAGGTACAGAAGTAAGGTCACCTAGCTAACCTACCTACTTCCTAACACTCTGGTGGGTAATTCCAGAATCAGGCCTCACACAAAGCCATAAAAGGACTTCCATAAACACCCTAAATTTCTCATTTTCTATTACATTTGTTACCTCTTCAAACCAGTTAATGAGAAAGGATAAATGAAACAGGCCTTTGGGTGGTTCATAAACAACTAAGATCTTAAAGGCAATTTGACACAGTTACATTCTATGTAGCTTTCCTTTAAAAAAGTAAGAGAGCACTAATTGGTAACTGGCTCCCTAGCTACCTTCAGAAGAATCTTACCTTCAGAACCAAAGGCTAGATGCATAATAGGTGTCATCCTTTGAACACTGAGTGCTTTGCTCTCCCTGTCTGAAAACTGAAGACAGGGAAGATAACTCTACCTAGTTGAAGTTGCAGAAGTCATTGAAAATACATTTCCTGTGCAGAATAAAAACCACAGTTCAAGAGCAATACGAAAAATACCTTTTTTTTTCCTAGAAGTTTTTTGGAGAAAATTACACAAAAGAAGTAGACCACTGGATACATGACTCACAGTAATGCATGAGCTGTCGTTAAAAATGATGCACGCACGCCAAAAGTCAGGTGACACGCAGGCATGCAAGAAGAGGAGCATGTGCTTCTCAGATCACATGATTGAGGGTCTCTGGGGAGTCTCGCTTGGCTTCAAAGAAGCTTTGAGACAGAGGAATTGAGGTCTCCCCGTTACAAAGAGAGGGGAGACCAAACAACGCCGGCTTACCCTCGGCTGCCAGTTCTCGTACTGCTTCTGTAAGTTTGCACCGATGGTCTCCAGAGCTTTCTGAGGGCCCATTGACAGAGGATCTGTGGAACAGTGAAAAGGAGGAAGACTTTATACATGCACTTCCCATGCTGCCAACAGCTCTCCTCAAGGAGCTTCCGCCCCCACTCACTTCAAAGTCACCTCTGACAAGATAACATGACATGGCCACAGGTTTACCTGCATTTAACCAGATGCATGGAATTGCTAATGTACCCAAACAGGCTACTGTGCTCACAAAAACTGCCAGCACAATGATTGTTTTTCTTCTTGGGTGTACTGGTATTCTGGTCCCAGCCATTTTCTTGTATTCTTCCTGTCCTAACCTTGTGTGCTCCTGTTCAGGCTTTGCTAGAAAAAGCTTGCCTGTGCTTCTATATCAGGACAGATTGTGCACAGGGAAGAATAGTGAATCCTCACCTGCAGACTACAACTTTCCTACATGCAGGGGCAGGAAAAAGAAAGAAAAGGAAGAAGGGGCCATGCATTGTATTAAATCTCATTACACTCTAAGTTCTCCCAGAAAAAACTCAGCTTTACAAACGTATATATATGTCACAGTTAGTTACTTATTTCTGGAGTGGCTTCTAGTACCAGAAACTCTGAGCCTGCAGTTCTCAAACTTGTCTGGTCTCTGGACCCTTATCCATTCTTTAAAAATGGGTGAGGACCCCAGAAAGCAATCTTATGTGGTTGTGTCTATTGGTATTTACTAAATGAGAAAGTAAGATGAGAAAAATTTTAACACTTCCTTATTCCTTCATTTAGAGACAATAAAGCTATACAATGCAACATGAAAATTAATTATGAAAAATAACTGGTTCTCTTGAAAACTTTAGTGAGAAGAGTAGCATTGTACATTTTTGCAAATTTCTTTCATATGTGATTTAACAGAGGGCACTAGACTCTCCTACCTGGCTCTGTATTCACCTTGCACATATGTTTATCACTATTAAACAGAGGAGCAGTTTAAACAGTGATTTACCAAGACATGGATCTTTTCTCTCATACTACACCAACGCTCCACAAGCAGCAGCCTTAAAATTACTTGCTATGTAGTGTCTAAGATTGTGTGGATAACTTGGACTGTTCTTGTGGCCCTGAGGAGGTCTTTCACCCACAGATAACTTTGTATCATCAGGCACTGGCTATCTGGAAAATACTAGTTCGCTGAGCTATGCAGACCTTCTGCGTATCATTCTCTATTATTTAAAAAAAATAAAAAGATCCTCATTAACATCATCACCATGATTTCATCAGAAAAGTCTTTCAGTACCAAGAAGCTACCAGTGCACAGTGGCAGGTACAGGTTTCCAAATTCTAACTTTTTATTTGAAATCTCAGGTTTGATCACTGGCAACAAATACTGTCAGTTGGTTTTCTTTAAGGTGACAGGTTCAGTTCATTCATTTTCCAGAAAATGTCTGCCAAATGCTCTGGTCTGTGCTGTGCCTTCAGTGAAGACAGTGTGCCATGAACTGGGAACCAGTCCAGCTCCACCACACCTACTGCAAAAGCGCTTCTCCATGAAACCCTCATTTCAACACACAAAATGTTACAAAAAAGTGCTTTCAGTTGTGGAAATTTACTAAAACTGATACACATTTCTGTTTTACTGAGGGCAATCTTTTTTTTTTTTCTTCCAGTACTGGGGTTTGAATTCAGTCTCATATTTGCTAGGCGGACACCCTACCACTTGAGCCACTCAGCCAGCCCAGAGGGCAGTCTTTTAAAGACTGGATTTTTTTTTCTTTTTTAAACTGCAAATGACTGGCAGAGAAGAAGCAGCTGAACAGTTTGGAGCTGCTGCCTTGATCCAGGGTAAGATGGCAGCAGTATCACTTACGTGGCTTTCCCACCACTGGCACAAACACCAACATGGGAGAACAGGCAAATGACTTCCTAACATTTTACAAAAACAGTTCCGGCCTCACGGGTCCCAGAATGGGTCTTGGGGACCCCTTGGGGCCATACAGACTCTAGAGCTAAGTGCCTAACTATTCCCCCTCATATATCCAAATTCTCACCTCAGTCCAGGCTTCCCATGGGCTTTTTAAAACTCAGTAAAGCACATCTGCTTAGCTTAAGAAGTCAGAGAGGACTAGGGGTATGGCTCAAGTGGTAGAACACTTGCCTGCCAAGTGTGAGGCCCTGCGTTCCATCCCCAGTACCACAAAAACAGGTCAGGGAATGTGACAAGGCTTTATAACAAAAAGCACCCATTCCTCGTCCCATCCTCAGAAGTGACCACCTTCAACTTGGTCACTCTTTCCTGACTTTCCATGCTAGACTTGGCAAAAGGCCCTTCCACAGTGGGTAGGAGCTTTCTTGCACTTTCAGTCCTGTTCCCTTCCCCTCTTCTTCCGACATAGCTACATCACATCTGTATTAAATGAGTATTCTGTGTCATACAATGGATAATGGACACATTCAGTGCTGAGCTGATGAGTGCACCAAAACAACATCTTTTTGTAGTTCTCTTTCTGGAGTTTTCCTGTGTTATTTTTAGTCTCCTGGTCTTCCATGTATCTAACATATTTTTGTCCAACTTCCCCAAAGTATCCCTCACAAATACTGCTTGTCGCACTTAGTAATCAGCTGGTCTTCTTGGCCACCCAAGTCCAAACCTGGCAGAAGAATGCAGAATATTTCTCTGCAGAAGTGAATGGTTCTCAGGAAAAGAGCCTGCAGGGACCTGTGGGCAATGACAAAGGGAATGACATTCTGTCATCCTGTCTCTGGAGTCCCAGAATGAGAGACACAGTGGTTGAAGACTTCCCAAATTTGTCAAAAGACAAAAATTTACAAATTCAAGAAGCTCGGTGAACCACAAACAGGATAAACCCCAGGAAATCCACATCCAGACACATCATAATAATACTGCTAAAAACTGGAGATCAAGACAAATCCTTAGAGAAAAATCAGCTTACACACTGGGGATCAGATTAGAACTGGGAATGCTCGGGTTTCCCAACAACACCGAAAATCACACACACACATCAATGCCTTCAAATTCCCCATGAAAATAATCTCAATCTAATATTCAACTTCGAGGGCATAAAAAAAGAGGTATTTCTAATATGCAAATGCACACAAAATCTGTGTCTCATATTCCTTCTCCTGGGCAGTAAACCACAAAAGAAAATAAGGAAGGTCTCAGGAAACAGGGAGAGGGAAAAAGGGAGGGTGGATCCACGAGACTCCCAAGGACCAAGTCTAGAAACCAAGTTGTCCAACACAGCAAGAGGAGTATCTAAAACAACAACAAAAGAAAGAACCTAACAGATTATTATTTGAGCACTGCCAGGTTTTGCTGATAACATCTGGCAGGCCTACTGTAATACATGTAAAAAAATTAATTAAGCCCATCCTAGAGGGTCACAAAAAAACTTATCAAATAAAAATAACTAGGAAATTTGTCACTATTGGGAAAAAGTATACACAATCAAGGAATCAATGGGGAGCAAGGAGAGACAGCTTTTTCTTAATATGGTATTCAGTACTATTCAGTTTTCTAACCTTGTGTATGCATTACTTTGATTAAAAAGAGATTAATCATAAAAACAAGTAATAGGATTCTATACTTGGAAGGGACCTTCACCCTCTGGTATGTCAATGTGGTTAAGGACCTTTCAAATCAGAGGTGCTGGGTCCGCCCCTTTTGGAAACTAACCCATAGTTCCAGAGAGCCCAGTGAGCAGCTCTGGCTGAGGGAAACATGGTGAAAACCAAATTCTAACTAATGTCTCCAAAAGACTTGGGGTAAATTTGTTATCGTTGACCACAAGGGGTTAGATGTTAACCTTCATCTCTTTTTTCTGTAGGAACACAGTTCTAAGGTCTTAAAACAATCCTAACCACCCATCAGTTCGGCTATAACCTGAACCATAAGACTAACAAGGGACAAAGAAAACAGGGATCTGAAAAATAACAGTTAAGGGCCACCTCTATGGATAAACAAAGCAAAGGGAAGCAGAAAGGAATTTAACAAGTAGAAACCACTCATGGCATCCAGTATAGACATTGAGGCTGCATAGCAGAATCCACCTAACAGTGGCCCCACTGTTCCTTCTCTAACCTCAGCCCAGAACACCTGTTGATCCCAAGGGAGGAACCAACCAAGTGAGGCTATCACCTCCAATCTACTGGGAATCCCTATGCTCAATTAATTTTATGGTTTCCTTCCTTTAAGAATATGTCAGTGAATGGGAGAGGAGAAGAAATGAAAGGAAGAAGAGCAGAGCACAGAAATGAGAACAACTAAAATGATGCATCTGACATCACAGTCAAACTAAAGTTAACTTCCTGGATAGACATGTCTGACCATGTCAACAGCCTGGTGTGGAGTGAAGTAAACAAAAGCACACACTGAAAACTGAAGTCCTGGCCAGGTACAGTGGTTCACGCCTATAATTCCAGAAACTGAGGAGGCAGAGGTTGGGAGGATTGCAGTTCGAGGTCAGAGGTCAGTCCAAGCAAAAAAAAGTTATCAAGATTCCATCTCAATCAATAAACCAGGTGTGGTGGCATGAGCCTGTCGTCGCAGCTGCTGGAGGCCATAGATAGAAAGGCTGCAGTCTAAGGCTGGTCATTGGCAAAAACCCTGTCTGAAAAATAACCAGAGCAAAACAAGGCCAGGACTGGGGCTCAAGTGGCAGAGTGCCTACCTAGCAAGCACAAGACCCTGCGTGCAAACCCATTACCACCAAAAGCCTGGGGTCTTGTCTTAATACACACTTGCGTCCCAGTGCATGCATGGGCTTCTGTTCCATTGTGAGAGCAATGAAGGACGGAGCTAATGAACTTCCAGTGAGAGGGCATGTGAGTGAGCTATACCAAGTGCGCAGCTGGAAAAGTAGGTGGTAACTGGCATTGGTGTAAAACTTCTGGCTTTTCAAACATTTTCTTGCCTGCAAGATTTTCAGAATAACCCTGCTGCGTTTCACAACACCTAGAACTTTACATAGAATGCAGTACGGTCCAACCACTCCTAACATAAGAGCTGAAGTCTGACGCTCTTGACCCTCACAGAGGGCACTGAGGT